ACCTGTCTCTTATACACATCTAGATGTGTATAAGAGACAGGCGATAGGTAGTGGCAGCTAGCGCTGCCATAGCTGTAGCCTAGCATGTGTGGTGTGTGAAGTATGATACTGAGTGTTGCGTGTGGGACATCCAGGGTGATCCAGAGTGCGAACAGTGAGTTGTGTGGGCGCCCAGTCGCCATAGCCAGTTGAAGAGAACTCATATCTGGTTACGATATCTTGAGTATTGTGTGGGCGCATGTCGCCAGTTGCTGTTTCGCTGTTTGCATACATGACAAGTTGAATAATCAGAAGTGTGATTTCATTAGCTATATTTCACGCTTTATTTGGCAAGTTTCTCAAGACAAAATAGCTGCCAGATCTAACATGGTAAGTGCAATTTTAGGAAAGCAGCGCAAAGTAGACGGTCAGGAAGATGAGTCGTTGTTTGTGGTGCTGCTGTGAATCGTATAGACCATCCTCATGGAGAAAGAGAAGGACATACAAAGGTCTATTTCTCCCTGGGGAAAACCAACCAAAGGTCCAAAGATGGATTTTTTTAAGACAGGAGTTAGGAAACAAAAGTATAGTCCGTCGGGACATCCGTTAAAATTGGAACGATATAATTTTAGGAAACAAAAGAATAAAGTTGTGTTATGAATCTATGATCTATAAGGAAAGGTCCCATGAAATTCACCATAGACTGAGTAGCTCGCGGGGCTTGTGTAGAACATAGAAATCATTGGTGTATCTTACTAGGATAACTCGGCCTTGGGCTACCTGTTGCTGAGCCCACTCAATCAAAGCATTCTCCATTCTGTGCAAAGCAATGTTTGTCAGTAAAGTGTTGATTCGATCAAAAGCATTTTGCAATGTCGGCTTCAAGCACATACTTGTCTCTAATGGCGAGGCTCGCCAGAGCTTCCATGACATCTGGACAAGTACGTCCTGGCCTAAATCTCGAGTCTGTGTTTTTTTCTTTTGTTTTTGAACTCGCAATGAAGTGGCCTTGAATGGTGCCCCTCTGCCCCTCTTATGATTCACAAACAGGTTGCTCTATTATTGTTCAACCTCCAATCCTTTTCTTTGGATTTTCTCTTTAAGCACTGATTCGGGACCAGGAAGCTTTGTGTTGTAGGTGCGATCACCAATAAAACACAGACGCCATTTGCAATTATGATTTTTTTTTGTCGACAACCAGCGAAGCTGTTTGACACAACTTAATGCTGTTGAAGATCGTAGTGAACAATGTTGTAGTTCAAATTACATCCTCCACAAAGACGTCGAAATCGATGCACTTAACAGCCATTTGACTCTGGTGGTACCAGACAGCCACCCCTCAAAAATCTCGGCGTACCTGTTTCACAGGTGCACGTGAAGTGTCTCTATCGATCCTCAGATGCCATTTGAACAGAAAAGTTCAGAACATTCTTGACTTTTTCAACTCAATCTCACATTCATTTACATGCCTTGCTAGAGGCTCCCTTAAACCACCAGATTGGCCTCTAAGAGGCAAAATAGCAAGCATGGCGGACAATCACTTGATATGGAAGAAATGGAACCAGCTACCGCCCCCGAGTGAACAATAACCTGGGTCAGCAAATCGCCCTCTCCGAGGACTTTTGCTAACCCAGCAGGCCCTACAAGGCTGCAAAGCCACGGTCTTTTTGCAGAGCATGGTTTTTTCATTTGACAGACTCCAAAGGGGGTATCTGAGAGGAAAGTAGACTAGGGCAAACTGACAGTCAATCCTCCCTCGTTGGGAGTAATCAATGCTGATCAGGGTTCCTTCGCCCAGACGGAAGGAAGCGTGTGTGGGCTATTCATATATTCCATATTACGACCTGCAGATGAATAAGGAACTGGACTGACGCTCCCCAGAATGGACATGGAGCCAGGACCATAMGGACCTGTTAAAAAAAAAAAAAAAAAAGAAGGATACGAAAGGAAAAGAGGGCCACATATGCTGTGAATTGTCAACTTCTTCACAGAATTTGACTGGGCATGCAAAAGTTGCGCCTGCACATTGCAGACAAACAGAATCTAATGATTGGTTAAACTCGCAAGTTGGAAACTTCTTACTCCTCATTTTCGAAAAAACGCCAAACTACATTGCCTGAGACTCTGAGCACTTACCCCCACTTTCACTCCTTGTCAACGGTGTAAATTGCCCTGTTTCCGCCGAGTAGGAGAAGTCACACATATACACTCCAGCTTTTGGACCAACATTCCTGAAAAATTCAGACAGAAGCAACTAGGATGATAATATCAATTAGGAGTCTTGATTCAAGAAACCAACACATAGGTCCAAATAAAGCTGAAGGAAAACATGTGATAGCCTGATTGGTGATGAAAACCAACAAAATTTGTAAGCATGACGATACGTCGATGCCAGTAAGTAATGTTAAACCACCACTGGCCGCAACCCGCTGTGACTCGTGGAGGTCACACTCGAAATCTGCCAGTTGGGGGAACGCCAGTTGGATTGTCTATCTGAGTTTAGATATTCGTGCAAAGCCTCCTGTACATCTACTGACCCAGCCACAAACTGATACATCGCTTTTTATACTGAAGGTTTACTTCACGCCATCTCTGCCAAAGCTCGTGCTTCAGTGGGCAAAATCCAGATTATTTGTTTTGCACGTCCTTTCACCATCCCGAACCAAGATCCCATGGTGGAGATTGGCGAATGCACTTCTTTATTGAGACCACCTAGGCCACCTCCAAGCCAAGGTCGGTAGAGGCCACTTCTCCCTGAGATGACAGAAGGATGAAAAGCCACACATGAAGGTAACATGAGTCGGTGGACACATGCTCGGAGGAGAGAATGCAGAGAAACAGTTGTTTCAGGCAACCGCTGGGTCGGGTACATGAAAGACTTTTAAGCACCTAATACATTCGGTGGAGATAGCTCAAGAATGGCATAGGAGCATTGCTTGGGTTTTAGACTGGGCAGGGGGAGGAATGCTGCCGCAAAGCTTAAGGCGACATGAGACAAAGGCTAAGGACCTTTCAGAAAAAGGGGGGAGAAGCATGGAAGTCGGTTACATATGATGTATTTTTGGCCTATATCAGACCGATTAGGGAATCACACTGACAATGGAACCAGGCTGTCATAGGATCCACAGAGTGAAGGCTGCATTTTTGCCTTGTCCTTCTCTTTCCTTTCTCTTCTCCTTTTTTGGACACTGGAAGGATGCATGAGAACTGGGCTGGCATGTTTAGGTTTGGTTTGTTTCGACAAGCACCTCAGTGATACGATTCGATGATAATGATGATGGGTATCTTACTATCTTCAGAACATACATACATTGTTCCCAGTTTCGTCGTTCTTCTTCAGACAATCCTATGATGCTGCAATGTTTGTTGTTGATGTGTGGATGGGATCACGGACCTGTGGAATTTTGTCCAGCAGACGCCTTTTTGAAACTAAACTGTTTGAGTGGTTTTCCTTTTCAGCAACTGTTTTTCATACAGCTTCGCTCCCAAATCATTTTTGTGTTTTTTTCATAGTTGCGGCGCACTGCCCTGGTGCGCAATGCGGTGCTGTGCGCCGTGCGGGATGCGCTCAGGGGCACCGCACGC